GACATCCCAGAAGTTACACATGAAGCAAAGAAGGCATTGGCAGGGCAGCTTCCTGCTGTCGGGAGGTCTATGTGTGTGGAGATCTCACTCAAGACTTCTGAGAATATATTTTGGGGAAGTTCAGCTGAATGGCTTAGGAGAAGGCTTCCAGACAGTTCGTGTTGGGACAGTGGGCACCCCAGTGGGCATTATTACTCTTTCTTGTGCTTACAGAATTAACCTGGCATTCATGTCTACCAGGCAATTTGAGAGAACCCCGCCTATCATGGGGATTACTATTGATCATTTTGTGGACTGTCCCTATCCCAGCTCTGCACCTATGCACCCCTGTAATTACAAAACTTCTGGTGAGGACACTGGAGTTACATATCCATCTGTGGAAGACTCTCAGGAAGTGTGTACCACCTCTTTCTCCACCTCCCCTTCATCCCAGCTGATGGTTCCTGGGAAGGAAGGTGGAGTACCGGTTGCTCCCAACCAGCCTGCCCACAGCACCCAGGCTGATCAGGAGAGATTGGCAACCTGCACCCCTTCTAACGGGGCCCACTGTGCTGCCACACCTTCCAGCAGCGAGGATACTGAAACCATGTCAAACAGCAGTGAAGGATGCGCCTCCCCCCACGATGTCTTGGAGACCATCTTTGTTAACAAACCAGTCAACCAGGTGACGCTGACCAATTTAGACATCCCTTTTACCATGTTTGCTCCCAAAAATTTGGAGCTGGCGGATGCTGATCCTATATGGTGAATCCTCCAGCGTCCCCGGAGGCTGGGTCTCCTCTGCAAGGCAGCCTGCACTCTGAGGGCTCCAGCGGGGGCAGCAGTGGCCATGCCCACGACGACTTTGTGATGATCGACTTTAAACCAGCTTTTTCTAAGGATGACATTCTTCCAATGGACCTGGGGACCTTCTATCGTGAATTTCAGAACCCCCCTCAGCTGAGCAGCCTCTCCACAGACATTGGCGCACAATCCATGGCTAAGGACTTGGAACCATTACCCGAGAAGTTGGCTGTGCATGAGAAGAATGTCAGAGAATTTGATGCCTTTGTAGAAACCCTGCAGTAAAAGTTGGTGTCTTCAAGTACTGGCAGCATCCCCTTCTTGGTGGTCCCAGGGGACAGAGAGCCTTCTTCCCCTCCTCCTCTTCCTCCTCCGCTGCTCCCCATCCCTGATCCTGCTCTGAGCTGCTGGAGGGGAGGAGGGTCCCTTGTGCGGGATCCAGAAGTCCTGCTCTTGCCTGTGCTGGAGACTCCACGGCAGCAGTGTGGCCGGTCAGAGCATTCGGGAGGACTCACCCAGTGGCCTGTGGATAGATAAACCCTTGGTAACAAAGGTGCCCTCGGGGGGCCACCTGCTTACACTGTCCATCCCCAACCACTTCACAAGGCAGCCTTCCATCCACCTGCTGCCAGCCTCTTGCCCTGGATCTGCCAAGCTGGCTGCTTGCTGCTGTTGGCACCAACATTCCAGCTGGTGGCTCAGACTGATATGGAGGCAGGAGGAGGAAAAAGACGTTGGGAGGAAAGGAGAGGAGAGGAGGGGTCCTGAAGTCTTTGTCCTCTTCAGTTCCTGGTCTCCTCTTCCTTTTTTCTCTGCCCCCGGGCCTGTACTTTTACAATGTGGAGGTATGCCTGATGAGAATGCACAAGTCCACTAGCCCTCATGGCAGGCTTCGGGTAGCCCTGGCAGCTGCCCGCACTCACTCCTTGGCTCCATGAGAAGTGACAATAGCCTCCTCTATCTCCAGAACTCTGTCACCAGGAGTTGTAGCAGCGGCTCTTCTAGTTTCCTCTCCTCCCCTCCCCTCTGGTTGCACCTTGGTTATACAGTGAATATTTATTACTTTCAGAGATTTTATAGAAAAACTATGTCTGAGGTTAGCCATTTTAGGGAAGGTGAAGAGCCACTTCTTGGAGCAGAGGCCTCCTATGGCGGTTTCTCAGAACCCGGATTGCTGCTCCGAGGATCTCCTCTCATGACAGAGGAGGGATCCAGGATGGGGCCGGGGCAGAGTGGCCTCCCAGCATTGCTGCATCTGAGCTGACAACAGGCCTTCCCTTGGACACCTCCATTTTCCTGGTGACTCAAGTCTTCACAGCTTCTGCAGAGTGACTGGCTCTTCTGGCAGCCCAGGTGCTAAACGTGGACACCCCAAGCTATGCCACGTGCTGGGCCCGGGGACATTTCATTGGGTGCCCCCCTGGACCAGAAAAAGCCAGGTGCCCCTGCTGCCGGGATACCTGCTCCTCATGCTGGGGCCTGTAGGCCTTTTCTCCTTCCTCATGGGCCTGGCCACTGTTTCCCTCTAATCCCTGGGCCTGCACACTGCCCTGGGGTTCACTAGTTGGTTTGGTTCCTTTCTGAAAACTACAGCAGGCATGTGGTTAATTTCAGAAACTGTTATTTGATTAAGTCAAGTGCCTAACCTCAACCCTCTGCCGTCTCTCCCTCAGCCTAACTAATACCTGGCCAACGGCACATGGGCCTGCCCTGTCTCACCTGGGCCTCTGAGGGTGTTCACTGGCAGCAGCTGTTCTAACTGCTTGTTAGTAAACTGCATGTGAAACTGTCCCACCTACAGGGCTGGCCCAGGCTTGGGGATCTTGGCTAAGGCTGAGCCCGGCTCTGTGCATGCACTCCGCCAGAGATAAATAGTCCTGGAAAACAGTGCTGCCCAAGTGGCCCTCCTGCTGTCAGGCCAGGGCACTTCCCTGTGGTGGCCATGCCCATAGCCTGCTACACAATCCACACTAGGCCCTGGGGCTAAGAAAGGTGGAGGCCCTGGGTCAGTTCTCTCTCTGAGGCTTTGCATGGAAAGGCCTCTTAGCCATCTCCCGTATAGTCCTCTGCGATTCCTAGTTGGCCCGTGCAGCAACGTTTCTCCAAGACCCCACAGCAAGGGGGCCAGGGAGGCTGAGCCCTGACTGAGCTGAATCTGGGAGGAGCAGCCTAGCCCCTCAGCCGTGTACAACACGTGAACACAGACTCCTGCAGCACCTGAACAAGGCTGGGACCAGACATCTGTCTCCAGGTGACAGCCAGCATCATCTCCTTCATCCCACCTCGTTTGGAAATCCTGAGCTACAATTTAAAATGTATTCAAGAGATGTCCAATAAATTTTTTTCTGTACTTTAAAAAAAACACAACTCATCTCTAACTTAAATTTTCCTTTTCTAAGACCAATACTAATCATAAGCACACTGTTATTAATCACTCCATGTCTCTTTAAGTTTTTACTTCACAGGATCAAGAAGATGACCACGTTAATTCTCCCCTGGCCACTAATCCCAGACTGACTCGCTCCAGGCTCTGAATGCCCAGATCTTCGCCCCTGTTCAGCAGGAAGTAGCCCAAAGAAAGATACGTTGCCCTGTTTTATCACTAAAAACAGTCTAAGATGTTAGTCTGGGCAAAGAGAAGAATGAAGAATTCAGAACTCAAATGTTGATGGCCTTGCCTGCTTCAGATAAGAATGCAAATGGCCTTGCCTGCCTGGCTAAGCTAGCAGGTGGCTCGTACAACAGAATGGAATGTCCCTCCCTAAAGACTCTGATTATAAAAATCCTCCCCAGTAAGTTCACAGTGTGACTTCCCATTCTGCCTCTCCAGGATGAGGAACTCACCCGGGAGCTCCCCTTCCACCCCCCGCCCCCTTTAATAAAGCTGCATTAAGCTTTCTCTCGTTCTCTCTGATTTCTTCTTTAAGTTCACTAACCTAACCTAACCATTACATGTCCCTTCTTTCCTCTCAGTGGGGCCCTGGTGGCACATTGTTTAACATGCAGGCTGCTAACTGGAGGCACAGTGGTTCGAACCCAGTAGCTGCTACATGGGAGTGCAAGCAGTGTATTCTCGTAGAGATTTAACAATGAGTCTGGGAGGCGCTGAGGACTTTCTGGTTTTCCTTCTTCACCGTATCAAGGACCATCCAGAGAGAGCGAGCTCGATTGTTGTCATATCATAACAGCGTCAGGGACAGAGCTGTGATCAGAAACACCCAAAGCATGAAAGGCCTCGAAAAGTTGTGGCCAGGATAAAGAGACATGAAAGCGGGAGGTCCCCGAAAGGACGCCTGCATACTCTTGAAAGGCAACACACCGGAAGACCCAACGATAGAACACAAAACGAGCGAACAAAAAACGAGTTCAGATCCCGCCGAGGGTCATAGGCAAGATCGGCTGGCCTAACCTGATACTGAGAAAGGGAAGGTTCCTCGCCACCGCCGCTGAGTCTCCAAAGACGAACAACTAGGAAGGAGCTGTCCGCCCCGTCCCACAAGAAGATATCTCCGCCGAGGCCGAAAAGCAGGTTTCTCGTCAGCAACGGCGAAGATAACGAGGAAGAGGAGGCTATCTCCGCTTCCTTGCGGCTGTGGTTCTTCAGTCCCTCCCGGAGACGCACGAACACGGCGTGGTTGGGCAGCAGGGTGTGCCAGAGCTCTGCGTCGCCCACAGCATCCTCAGCAGCCGCCATGTTGGTGCACCGCCTCCTGCCCCTTAGCACGCCGCCGAGCACAGCCACTTTCTAGCGGGCGGTCTATTACTGTAGCCAATCATCGAGCAGATGACCCGGAAACACGAGCGATCTAGGGTCGGAGCGAAGGCGAAGGCAAAAGGGAGCCAATCACCGGCCAAGCATGTATTCTGAATCCAGAAGGGGGCGGGACGAGTATCTCAATGGACCAGTACCTACTTAGAGGACGTCTTTGGTGCCAGACGAAGTCTCGGCACTTGGGGCTAGCATGAGATGTGTATTTAATTGTCCATTGGACCCCTCCACCTGCATAAATGTGTACATCCAAATCATTCTCCCAGGACTCACGTCAGTCTCGCTAAATCCGGAATGGATTTACATTGCAAATATCAATTTATCTCCGAATAAGCACAGCACTCCTTAAGAATAGAAGAACGGTAGGAGGTATCTCAC